CTCCTGGGCTTTGGGATGCACAGCTAAGTATTGGCGTGGTCCGTGGGGTCAGAGAGCCTAGTTCAGCAGCAGCAGTGCTATCTGGTTTGTTAAGTCTCCCTGAGTTTGAAGTTTTCCAAGGTGACTGTGGGGAAAGATGCCCTTGTGGACTGCTGTTCGATACCATTAGTGCAGTTTATTGAAGAGTAATGTGTGGTACATGTGGGGCATTTATCCCGATCGAGCAAACTTGGCAGTGGCAATAGGTGTTTTGCATATTTGTCTGAAATTGTTCACAGCTGCTAACTTCTGCCAGAATTAGAAATTTTTTAGCAGCTGCCTCTGGAATTGGAGAAGCCAGACTCTGAAGGGGCCATGCAAGGCTTCTGGGTTTCCACCCTAGCAAACAGCTTGGTGCTCCTGGAATCTCCAGCAGCAGTGCTGAGCATCGGCCCCACCGCCACGTGTGGCAGCATTTGCCTGCCCAGGCTGGCTGGCATTTGGCAAGGGACAGATGGCTTCCCGAGGTGCAGGAGGGCAGACGGGAGAGAGAGCCTCTGCCTGGAAGGGAGAACTGGCAGGTCTGTGCTATTCCTGACTCAGTTCACCTCCCATTTCGCTTCTCATCGGGGTTTGCAAACAAAAGGAGTCTTTTTGCAAACCTACCTCGCACCCAGTGCTGTGCAATTACCGACTTGCTCTGTGTGCTTTATGGTGCTTTTGAGGTTTGTTAGCTTAACGAGTAACTTCCAAAATATTTGGGGACAAGAGAAGTGTGGTTTTACAGGAATGCAAACTAACTGGAAGCACTAGTAGTTGTTGCTACAGGAACAAAAACCAGTTAACTAGTACACAGAGCTCTTCAAAGGTCACGGGGATCTCCAAGGGGCAAAACTGCAATGATAGCATTTCAAGTCATGAATTTATAGCTGATTAATCATTATAATAGATGAAAGGTGTTGTCTATCTTCTGGGCATCTGGGGAATCACAGGTTGTGCAAGTAATTGGAAAAACTGCATTGTGAGCATCAAGTTCTTCTCCCTTGGACGCATTTTGCCACCTTTGACAAAGAAATGTGCAAACACTCGCTGCTCCATGATTTTGCCCAACTGTCTAGAAAATGTCTCAGTCTCTTAGACTGGATCTCAGACTCTCCTATTCCATGATTTTACCTGTTTGTCTAGAAATTGTGTTGATCTCTTGGGTTGCAACTCAGACCTTAGGCCAAGCAGTGACTGAGTTTGGTGGACCTGAGGGGCTCACGTTTAAGACTGGCCAATTCCCAGCATTACGACATGCTTGAAATGATCCTGCTCAAGCAGGAGAATTGCTGCGTGGTTACTAAATGAGAGCAGTGGGGTCCTCTGAGGGAAGCCATTTGTGTCTTTCCTATACTTAGCTTCATCTACAGCAGACCCTGCTTTCCCTGAAAAACACATCCATCCCTCCTGCAACTTTTGTGCCCTGCCTGTCTCTTCAAAGCAGAAGAAGCAAAGTGTATCTGAGGCTAAGGAAAATATGGTGGCAAACCTGGGGTGAGGATAACAGACTGAATGGGACAAGAGGTGATGTTCTGCCCCTCTACCATCAAGTTAAGGGGATGGATGTTTTAAGGTCGGGGATGATTCTTAAACCTAAGGCAAGAGAAAGTGTCTTTGCCAGCTTGCAAACCCTTCCACGGCTGCCTGGAGGTTTCTGGGTGTGGTGGTGCAAGTCCTGGCGTGTGTGTCGAGGGGACAGGGAAGCTGTCACAGCAAGATGGATTGGAGCAGACGTGCTCAGGTGTGGGCGTGTGTCGCTCAGCCACCCGAGCAGTGCCAAGACCTGGCTTCCTCACATATCAAGATACACCTTGTTTCATTCTCTTTCCTCACACCACCATCTTACTTGTTTTTTTAAGACGTTTTAACTTCCAGAATTTCTCACAGGGCAAGAGAGTTTCCATACTGTCCCCTGTTGGGAGCTCCTAAATAATGCAGCTATTGAGTTAGAATTTAGTGCTCAAGTAATGAAATTCATAACCTGAGTTTTCTACAGCAGCATTAACTGTGACACAGATTCATCACTGGCATATCATCATTAAAAGGCAGCGGAATTGCATCGGGGATTGATGTGATCATATGCATGTACAGATCGAGATACAAAAAGGTGTGATTTATGTAATATAAGCATAAGCTGTAATCCAAAACCCTTCCCACATGCGGTGTGACAGTTCCTGTTCCCAGAGCAGTGATGGTTTTTAAATTTACTGGGCAAATGTGTATATGTTTATATGTTTTTATTTAACTCTTTTAAACATAGAGTTGTCTTAATCTTTATTTCTGTCTTTTTTTTTCCCCTTGCATTGAATTATAGCTGTAGTTATATGTGCTTAATAGTTCAGTGTTATTGAAATTCTTTATATTTTTGAAGCCTGGGTGTTACATGTCAGGACTTCATTTCATTGTCTTATGTGGAATACAGAAGCACTGCCATGTTTGATGCAGCCTTAGCAAATATATATGTAGGAAATGTAAAAAGTATACATAAAACAAGAAGATAAATGTTATTCAGGTTTTATCTTTATTATAAAAGCTACCAGAATCATATAAGAAAGTTAATGGTGAACAAAAGCTGTTCTTAGTTTTCAGGATGTGTTACTTTTCCCCTTCCTACGCTTTAGTGATTTGCACCCAGAAAGAAAGAGGGCAGAGCTGGGCCAGTTTGGTGACGTGGGTTGACCAGCAGCTGTCCCTCTGGTGGCCTTTGGAGGGAAAGGGACTTCAGGTACAGCTGCAGAGGGAGCAGTGCCAGGATAGCACAGGAGCATGGCACAGTTCCTGCCAGAGTTATCACCTGGTCTCTGGCAGCTTTGAAACCTGGCCTAAATAACTCCTCTTCCACGAGGAGTTCAAAGCTGTTGAGAGAAGTAGTTGCTGAGGCCTCCTGTTTGGCAAATTTGTCAATCAGCTTGTAGAGCTATAAGTAAACGGGGCTTTATGACGAAGGCTTATTGCTCTTTGTGGTTGTGTAGGAGTTTACAGAATTTTCTAAGGACCTCTTTTATCTCCCAAGTACAGCAGCAATTAAGATTTGCTTCTGAAGTGCGGTGGCAGTTCGCAGCACTCGAGATATACCTGTCTGTCCTGGGTGTTTTTTCAGTGCAAAAGATGTTGCTTGTGCTCTGCTATGGAGTCCAGCAAACTCAGGGGAGGGGAATATTTGTAAAAGGAAGAGTGGGGATCCAACCCACTCCCCTAAACCTGTCTACACTGGTAGCATTGAACCTTCACAAGAAGGTAACTTTTCAGTCTAGCCTTCCTGACCTCCTTTAGGTCTGTGTTCTCCAAACACCAAAACTGATGCTGTTTGAGATTAGGCTTTAAACCAGTGGAGTGCTCAGCATCCCAGCCCTGATCCAGCCCAGCATGTAACTGACTTCCGTGCGGGTCTGTCACACAGTTAAAATCAAGTTCATCCTTAAAATATGTGCTGGATCAGAGTTCTCTCAGTTGCAAAGTCAGACCTTTAGTGAGAAAACCAGAGCCACACATTGCATGGAGTATGTGCCTTAACGGCCTCATGAAGGAGACACAGTATTCATCACTTCTACTCATTGTTTTCTGTTACACACCATATGTTATTTCTGTAGATGTCCTTGACTCTAATGCTTTTGCAGCCCACTATTTTGTCTGCTCTTTGTGATCATTTGTGGTTCATGGGCATATAGGAAACAACCACAGAAGATGTGGGGATGGGTCTGGGGAGCCCACACAGATAAAGAGCTGATATGGAGGTGGCTTCGTGCTTCTCTGCCTATGGCACAGATAGATGCACTTTCTTGGGCAGGACAGTACAAGTAAGAACCAGTAGATCTTTGGCCATCCAAAACCCCAGCCATCCTCACCTGTGCCAAACCCACCAGCCACACCCTCTGAGTTTAGGGCCTTGTTTTAAATATCATGAGATTTTGAACACAAACAGTGTTAGGGTTGGTTTTATTTATCCAGTAACATTTAGTCTTTGGGGTGTTTAATATTGACATGGAGTCTTTGGGGAGAGGGATTGATTTTGCTTGGCTTTGTTGTAAAGCCTTATGCATCTGGTTACACTTAAGACGTTAGCTTTAGCTAACAACAAGCCCCTTGATAAAATTCACAATTACTGGCAATACTGTGGACATAGACTTATCTCCTGGGCACGTTTTGTAAAATTAAGCTATTTTCATTAAAAGAACAAAGAGTAGCATGGTGATGGAGCAGCTGTCATATTTTATTACAAAACACAAATATGTGGGAAATCAATTACAGCACGAGTGCTGCACGATGCATATTTCCAGTAATCCCCCACGGCCGGGGGAAGGTAGAAGGCTGATCTGAGTGCAGGAGCAGATGGCAAGCAACTTTAGATAGCTTCACTGCCATTTTTACTCTTTCAAGTGTTTGTGCTTCTCCTTTGATCTTCAGAACTTGAGTTTTATGTGTTTCATCTTCTTTCATTTACTGTTTTCACATTTAACTTTCCTTTTAAATAGCTTTTGCTTGGCAGAGTTTGCATTAGTGTGGGGTTTTGTTATCTTCCATACTGAGGTATTTCAGAAGAAAGACAGTTGCTGTCTTTTTTTAGTGTTGTTCACATCCAGTAAAATACTGACTGCATCATTGCAGAGGACTTCACCATCCACCATGCACAGCTGTAGAGATGCAGTGAAAAATTTCACCTCACAAAGTTATTGAGACACTTACAGTACATATGAAGTTGCAGTGAACTTCCTTGGAAGGTAGATACTATGGGAGTGTGATGGCATGCCCACAAAAACACCTGTGGAAGTTTGGTTTCATCAGTACCCTTTACACTTAATTCTTAAATTTTCACATAGTTAAACTTGCATTGCAATTCTCTGTGCATATAACATTTTTATCTTCACTTAATTTATGTTTAAAATAAAAGCATTTTTCAAGTGTTTTGAAATAGAGCAGCAAAAGCAACATAGGTTGATCTGAACAAGCCCATATAATCTGTATCTCTGCTTTTTCTACAGCTGTCAGAAATGACAGGAACAAAAAGAAGAAGGAGCCTTCAAAGCAGGAGTCCACAGAAAACTATGAAATGACAGCAGAGTTGGATGATCTCACTGAGAAGATCCGGAAAGCTCACCAGGAAACCTTCCCCTCACTCTGCCAGCTGGGAAAATATACTACAGTGAGTATGATTTGCGACACATATATTCTGGATATGCCTGGATGATGTGAGTTTTGGAGGCTTCAGGCATTTTAAATAGATGCAGCAGTAGATGCACTCCCTTAGCCATGAAAAACACAGGTATGTGTGCAAATGTGTGCTGGAGAAGAGAAATTGCACTTAACTGTAATCTTTGCTTAGCGGTATCATGAGAGACTATCTGAAGGATTAATTCAGCCAAACGACAAGCTTGGAGTCCATGAGTCAATTACATTCCATCATTCACTAGAAATTTGTTGGCTTCCAGAGACGTGATCTCTGCTTGTGCGTCAGTGGATTACAACTTTGCAGGTGTAGGGAGTTCTTAAATGCTGCTGGATTACTGGTGACAGTCCCAAAGGTACCAAGGTCAAGGAAAATATGAAATGTCTAAGTAAACCAGTTTCCAAAATGCTCATTTGCAGTTTATTTCTAGAATCACAGATTATCCTGAGTTGGATGGGACCCACAAGGATCATTGAGTCCAACTCCTGGCGCTGCACAGGACAACCCCAAAAATCACACATCCTTTCCCAGTCTAACCAGAAAACCACAAAGCAGCAAAAGCTTCTGCTGTTTTAGAAATGAAAAATCAGCCCCCCCATGAAGAAGTTCAGTAATGTAGGAATTTCTCCAGAGATGAGTCAGGGATACAACTTTTTTTTCTGTATAT